GATGGTGTTGCGGCAAAAGTTAGTGTACAACTTTTTTCTCTAGCAGAAGATCAGTTTGCCTGCCCAAATTTCTGCCTAAAGGTCTTTGTAAAACTTTTCATTTCAGATGCTGTTGCGGCATAAAATAGTGATAGCTTTTTCTCTACTTCTAATAATCAGTAGTCTGTGTAAGAGTCACGCTTGTGGAGATAACCCCATGGTAACCGTGAGGACTTTTGCTGCAAAAAAAGGTAAGGATTTTTATTCTTCTTCAAAGCAATCAACTGCTGGTGCACTAATGCGTGCATCTGAATTAGAAATTGGTTTGTCTGTTTTGTCTCTGAGTTCACATTGTTACATACAGTGTAACTTGAGATCATAAGGAACAGAGTAGGCCTACATTTCATTTGCTAAATGTGCAGTAAGCCCACTCTTAATGCCGTATACCGCAGCATCAAATCGTACAGAATTTAATAGACGCGTTGGTCAAAAATTTGGCGTTTTACATAAAAATATGATTGGTCTGCACACTAGAGATATATTAAAATTGATTACCCTACTAAAGAATGGATTGATAAAAAAGAAATCGTAGTAAAACAACCCACTGCAAAAGGACAGATCACGTGGTCTGTGACGCGATACTTGCTGACGTGCACCAAGCAGCTAGCATAAGGTGTAGGACCAAACTGAAGGTAGAAAAGGTGTGTTCTTTGACGTTAAGACACTGAAAAAACACCTGGGCCCCGTAACTCGAAAGCATCGCGCATTGCGACCGAGCGCAAGCGTCTCGATTCCATAACTAGTCCATACCCGCCATATATAATACACTGTAGTCTCTATGTGATATCGCTATTGGCGATACGCGATGTTTTCGAGTTATGGGATCCTGGGCGCCTGCAATTAAATATTTCTTGAAAAGAATCAACAAGGAGACATACATACGAGTTTTGTTTTCCCGATTCAATGTCTGTGAAAAAAAAACAACTTTTGACCAGTTTGAACGATGGGAATAAATGTTGTTAGGTCTTAGAGTTCAATGGTTTTCGATATCTACAAAGGATTAAATCATTTGTGATAACAAGCCGACCATCGGTGTAAGCATTTCGTATTTCCTAACAAGGACCACGTTAAACTCTTTTAGATAAATACCAAAAGACACCATTTCATATTACCTAAAAGTGATATTTGAACGGATTTTTTCTGCTTGATTTCTGTGCTGTACACAAACGGGGCAGAAAAGTCGGTCAGATAATAAAGTTAAATTTAAGATCAAAAATGTGAAAAAGGTGCAGTTTAAAGCTCTTTTATGGCTGATCGTACTATTAATTCGGTTTCTCGCTTGGCATTTCGACTTTATTTGTGTTGTTTAAGAAACAAGTAGCAGTGGTGTATATGAGTAACTGGGAATCCACTGTCCACCGACGCTTGGTTCAAATGTACCTTTCATAAATGAATGCAACACAAAACTTGAAGATCATTTTGAAAATTAATTAATCTAAACAAATACATTGTTTAGCTGGCAATGCTGCGTTCATAAAGATTTATTGAGCCGTCATTATTCACTTGTAATGCGTTTCCAAACACCTTACTGGTGAGCTCAATATGACAACTCAAGGAGATAACTAATTTGATGACAACGACAAACATCCCTCAGACATAACGAAGAAGGTGCATTATTTTCAAAGCTGGGTATCTACAAAACAGAAACCCAATTTGCATATTTTGAATCTATGCTTGGACAAGTTTTCTGAAATATACACGCCACCCGTTATTCGATATTTCACTCACGCTAATACATGATATTGCCAATGACATATAACGTTGAATGTTTTAAATAGAAGTTTGGTATATAAAAACGATCCTTGACTTACACAATGTCGAATTAAAGGTTGTAGGTCTACTATACATACACGTTGACGTATTTTTACTGGGCCTTTTGGTTGCATTGACAGTATGAAGAAACCTTCTAACCTTTGCCGATGTGTACAAGTGGTGATACATGTAGAGTCCGGTTCTCATCTCACCATCTCTTGTCATCACGATCTCTTGACACGAACGCCATCGTGCGCAAACATACCTGTAAATTGACGCAGTGTCTTAATGTCAGTGCGTTTTTCACGTATGGGTGAAAGATGGAGATGAGTTAAATTGGCAATATTTCGAATGCTGACGAACTCGAACACACGCTCGCGCGGGCACTCACGCACACACACAACACACACAAGAAAAAATATTAAGGGCACATCATCTTAGCGTGTTATTGTCTCAATCTCGAGTTACTCAATTCACAATGATATTTCCCAATTTAAACCTCGTTCCAAATCTAAATAGAATGCAGAATTGCATAAACAGAGGCAAACATAGGCAAGCCAACTCTTTTTGGGACAAATTTATTTCTTTAGCATAACGACCTTTCTACAGAATCTTATCTGTATTGTAAGATAAGAAAAAGAACTCAAACAAAATTTCAATTTTTGATTTAAAAATAATAAATCGATTAAAGATAAATATTCTATCATTAGTTAGATATAAACCCCAAATAGTTTTAAAATGCATTATGTATACCTCCATATATGCAGAATCCCTTTAAAAGAGAAAGAAACAGTTTCCTGCTCAACAAAAGAATAAGAAAGAAATCAAGAAATTGAAAAAGACAGAAAGAAACGGAGAATACATTCTTTGATGTCATTTCCGTTCCTGATTTAAAACAAAAAAAACTTTCTGTCGTCAGCTTTCAGTTATTAAAGTAAATCATCAAATTCTAATAAGGCCTTCCTTTCTATAATCTTCTAGGTTTTACTCAACAGTACGCCATGCAGTGGCTGCGGGAGAACTACGCTCGTATGTACGAGGAAGTGATGAGTCGATACGAGGACTATAAGAACTGTGTCGCTATGGTAGATACCGGCTATTTTAAACGAGAGCACCCGGAGAGAGGGACATTGTACGGCACAGGACGCTTCCAAGTGGCGTATAATACCGCCATCACTGGCTACAGGGAACAAGGTAGCAGCAAAGGCTTCTGGGAAGGTACATATAGATTCAAGGATAAATATAGATATGAGATTAAAAAGTAAAGAAACTGAATTGTACGTTTTCAGGTATCTTTGCAGTCTTAAAAACATTTGCTTTGCAATAATGAAACATACTTGTAAATAGAATAACCTTTACATGCTAATGCGTTAAATGGTACTGTCACACCTGACGTACAGCACTAACGTTTGGGACAAATTGAACATACGCAGGCAAACGTTGGTGTACGTCCGCCTACGCAGAGGGAGATGAAATATCTTCAGCTTGTTCAAAAGCAATTTCATGATATTTTATCTCTTGTATCTTTACTTTAATGCGCTGGAAACAGGGTGGTTTCATACGCTCAAAGTTGTGCGTATCATCGATGACACATACGATATACTTATACGTACTGTAGGGGCCTACGTCTTTACGCAAGGTGTGACTGAGCCTTAAGTTTTATTTTAAATGGAGTTATGACGTGAGGTACAGGCCGTGTTAAAGTAGAAAACTACATGTTCATCAGTTTGATACTCAGTTAACCTATGATATGTATTACTTGATTTCTGCAGGCTTCAAAAGCATGGTAAAAGGTATTCTCTGAAGAGTGGATAATGATACCATAAATAACAGTACCGCGCAAAAGAAGCTGGGAAATTGGCGACACCATGTAGCTGGTACTGTAACTCCATAAATACAGTTGGACGGCACCTTTATGTAACTCCATATACACAGTTGAGCTGAAAACGTCAACGTGATTGGAGGAACAGCAGGCACGCCCATACGTATACACACATTGAACTTCCGCTGGAATCTTAAAATTAGACTGAGGAAATTGCTATGTTTTTTTTAAATTTAAACAAATAAAAGAAAATAGATTAAATAGAATTGACTTGTCATAGAGTTAATTTTCTTTTAAATGTAATATATGCCGAGAGTAAATTCTGAATGATTTTGTAGGGGCCTATGCAAGTTCGGGCGTCTGTGTTTGTAAGAGCGAGCGTTAGGCCTACTAACTTAATTTTCCCCACAAATAATGACGCCATGTGGGCGAAGTATCAGGTAGATTAACAATATTCAGACAGAAATTGATTCTAGTCTCAAATCAGTTACGAGATTTTCACGTTCATGATTACTCGAAGTGAAAGTTATATTTACGGAGACATAATAAAGAATGAAGGTCGTAGTGGAGGCGGAGGAAATCGCTGAGCTCAACACGGTCTCTCTGAACTGTTACATAACAAAACAACATGTTATATTTTTAGAATCATTCTTTCGTAGGTACAGGGATAATTAGTTTTTTTTTCATTCTTCGCTTGGTTAAAGCCTGTTATCGTACACTGAACACGCTATTTCAAAAACCAATTGCTTTTTTTATTTGTATACTCTACATTTAAGTCACGATATATTGTCGTGTATGGCATATTATTCCTAATCATCCGGTAGTCTGTGATTGCCTGTAGAGCTTCTCGTATGAAAGAAGCTTCTTCTATCCACAGTCTCATTTAAGTTGACTACAACATTATGATCGAGTTTTTTTATTCTTTTTATTTGTTTATTCTTTTTTCTAATGTTCCAATATACAATATACCACTGTCGCATGTACCATTCGTGAATAGATTAATTCAACCTGACATCTCCCTCTCCCTCTCTCTCTCTCTCTCTCTCTCTCTCTCTCTCTCTCTCTCTCTCGGATTGAATCGAAAAAAAATGCAGGGCATCAGAAAGCAGAACATTGATAAACCGCTGATATTCCTCCTCCTCAAATGTTTCACGCAAGTTTTACGTTAAAGATATTTAAATTGTGAAGGGGAATGTTTTGGAATGACCCATTATAAAGAAAACACTCTGATAATATATAAATAAAGCTAATTCTTACTTAGAAATACAGTAAAACATCCGTTATTTTGAAATCGTATCACTCTAACCTGCGAAAAATACAGTGGAGGATCATCTTGAATCAACATTGAAGTGAATTATCGATGTCAAGTTTTGCTTCACCACGAGCATGCGCACCTGCTGGTGACGTCACTCTGTAAACCATAAGAGTGCGGATTTGGGATGCCTTAACAACCCGAGATACTATCTTTTATAACGGTAAGTATTCCACTAATACCGCATGAGTTCACTGTTTTTCTTCCTCTATAGCATCGTAATACATTATTTTAATGAAGGACGTAGAATACAGATAAAAGAACATTAAAGAACCCTAACAATGTGAAACTCGAACGTGAAGAACCCATCGATCTTTAGAATCCTGGCTACACAATATGCAAGCACCACCCGTTTGGCTCCTATGACAGTATTGGAATGTCATCCTTAACCTACGCACTGGACATATCAGCTTACATTGGTATGACAATGGCTAGTGATATGAGGAATATGACCATTACTGATTAGATACCGCATTGTGATGTCGTCAGACTGGGGTTGCATAGAAGCTACTGATTACTATCACCATGATGTGTGAAATTTTCAAAAAGTAAAAAAAGGAAAGAAATAAAAGTAATTATAGACAACATTTTATACATAGTAGTTTAGATGTTGGTTATTTCTAGCAGACCAGTGCTGATCATGCCATCATCATAGAACTCTAAATAAAATGCTCTCAGAATTGGAACCACAGAATAACAATAACAAAATAACACTTCTAAGACATAGGGAAATCTTTGGAGATACTGAAGGTTGGGAGCACCTGCACTACGAGAAAACTGCAGGTTCTCCCAGTTCTATAATTCTGGACAAAGTGTTTTATTTCCGCCAGGCTATGTTTGCATGTGATTTATTACTTTGTAATGTATTTTTACATAAACCTTGCCAGTCCAGAGGTTCTGTGATATAAAAAAGTCTTGCAGGTTCTCTGGCATATTTAGTGATCATGACCAGTCGGATGGGCAGTTTCCCAGTGTCTGTCTTTTTTGACACAGAAATCACACAAACTGTCATTTTTACTTTCTATACTTTAAGAATTATCAATAAATGTAGCTGGGGAGGGCTTATTTCACTTTCTTTGTTTTAGAAAGTATTACCTGTGTTGCTTTCATTTTTAATGTATATATAAATTATTTGATATTTGATTTCAGTGCAGTTTGTTCCTTAGAGTCCTTAGATATTGCCAGGTTAGGAGTTGTCATCTTAATCATAGCTATCGTGTGGCCTGCCAGCAGGTATCTACCTGTACTCAGACATTCCTTCTTCAACTACACGGTGAGTTCACAAGTTTGCAGTTATAGCTCTGTAGTTGTTGGGCGATTTTAATGTGAATAATTCAAAGTTCCTCACGTACCTACATATATACGATTAATTTTCAATTTGAGAGAATTTAAAAATGTTTAACTGTGCACATCCCAGATGGATTGTTTTGGTGTCAAGGTTAGGGATATTAAAAATGACATGCTAAATAGTTATTCTAAATTTAACAGCATCGTTGAAATTTAAATCTGAATGCTTTTTAAGGCTTTACCTGAAACTGTGACGAGAGTCTGCCACAGAATTTTAAAAAAATTACCACATTACACATATCTACAAGGTTGTTTCATGATATTTGGACACAGACCAGAAATAATGTTAGGCATATGATATATAATTTCTATGTACAAAAATGGCATATAATTGTTTTTCCTGGTTTTGTTTATTCACAAAAAAAATTGATTCAGGTTTCCCTTTAAAACCAAACGAAAACAAAAACCACATGATGAGAAAAACAAATATCACAGAATGATATCACAGAATACTCTTTTGTCAAAATAATTTTCAGTACAAAAATGCACCTTGGAGGTAAAACTGGCTTCTTCAGAAGCCATAATATAAATAAACTAATATTTGCACAAACCATGTGAATGCTAGATTGCTCCTAGGCCATTCTGTCATATTTGCAGTTAAATAGAGTTAGGTCTAGGGGGTCATCCATTTTTTTATTTTCACAAGTTTACAGAGCCTAGATTTTTGCCAGACCACCTCCTCCCTTCAGAGTGTACAAGATGAGATTCTAAAATTGATGACCTTTGACAGCAATTTGGATCATCCTTTTTATTATTCCTCAAAAGTGAACAGGGGGCATTAACTCCCTCCCCTTTCCCCAGCCTATGGTTTGTAGACTTGTGAAAATGGTGATAAAATTGATGGTCCCGTTACTAGTGAGTCCCAGTGTTTGCCTCTTAGGAAAGTTAGTTGCTGGCCGGAAGGTCCAGCCATCCTGAAAAGTAGCTGGACCAACTGTCTGCCGGGTGGGAAAACTTCTCAGCCCGTTCTGAAAGTTGTCGACCCCGGGCAGACGTTCCAGCATTAATTTCTAACACTGCTAGTGACTGACTTGACTTCAGAAATTGTTTTAGGGCCTTTTCACTACAAGTGGTACATTTCACTGGCCTGGTCCACTCTGAGAAGTGTTAACATGTCATAATGCAGTGGGGCTTACTCTCTTTCACAAGTTCTCCACAAATTACAGGATATGCAGACAAAAAACAGGGGCTGACTTAGACCCCATTCCCATAGATTTTAGATTGATCTATCTCACTAGATTACTGTCAGCTTAGCCGGCTTATGCGTCTGTCCCGCCTGATAAAATCTGTAAGGGGGTAATTAACTATGGTGCGCGCTTGGCTGACTGCAATTTAGCGTGAACCCTCAGGGAGTTAGATCGATCTAAATCTAAATCTCTGGATTGATCTAAATCTCTGGGAATGCACCCTTAGAGGGACGTTCTATAACCAGATACATGATTGCGGCTGTCCCATCTTGTCCTTCTGTAACCCCACATACTAATACTACTCCCTATGCTGCTCACTTATTTAACTCTGGGGTTATGGAGAAAATAGATGGCAGGAAGTGATCTGAGATCAGCTTCCTGAAGTTTGGACTAGTACATTTTCTGTTCAAACTGATCTCAGCAGTGCTGAATTAAAGAAATGACACCAGCGGGTTCCCTTAAAAGCTTTTCCGAGTTCCTGCTATGCTTGGTAGCTCAAGCGCTAAGAGCATGATGGTATACTTTTAACTCCGAGCTTTTGTATGTGGAAGCTAGGTGGAAGTCATTGTGAGTCTGTATGTTTTGAAGCAGGGGTTATTTTGATTGAAAAGGCAGCAAGAACCCTGGAAAGTTGTGGTAACAAAGTAACCATGTATGTGGGTTGAAACATTCAGTCGGGTAGATTGACAGTCTTGACAGTTGATTTACTCCATCATGCCTTTGGTGTCATTAGGTTTGGTGATTACAAAGCTATGATTGAATTCACAGAGATCAATATTTGAGAAATACTTGAGTGGGTGATACATGGCATATTTGCAATACTGTAAATTACACAGCTATAGTCTAATGCATGCTAGCTTTATGCTATTTTTCCCATCTAATCTCAGGTATATCAATGAGTTTGTTATACCTGGATATTGTAGTGCATGTGTACTTACTGAGGCTCTCTTAGCCATTGTTGGCAGATTGATTACTGAAAAGCACTTAAAGCTGAAATTTCTCTGAATCTAATCTCATTCAGTGTTATTTCATTGCAGTTGAATCGGTTTTATATGGGCAACAGCAACAGTACAACCACCATGACTTCAGTTCCGAAACCAAACTCACACTACAAGTGTCGTAATTGTCAGTACCCGCGTGGTGGACCTCAGCGTTACGCAGTACCCGATGATAAAGTGTCCTGGAAGACAAATTACCCAGAATATGCACCCCCGGAATTTACCTCAGAATCTGTGTCTTCAGGACCGGTATGGGCAGATCCGGGAGTGACGTAAGTTGTTGTGGTGTTTTCTTTTATCATATTGTAGTCCTATATCTGGCACAATGCTTGTGTATCAAAATAATAGCTAAATTTGTTTCTTTTTCAAATTGACACATTTTTGCTATCATTTGCTAATTCATCATTTATTAATTAAAGACGCTATATTGGTTAAAGCAAGGATATTAAAATAATAATAATGATAATTCATATAATATATAATTTGTTTTAATTGAAAATTTACCCATAAGTGTCAGATTGCCAAACCTGTTTAAATATTTGTCTCTTTCTCCTACTTTAACTTAACCAAACCATTTTAGTCATTGGTTTAACTGCCCATTATTACATATGTTGGAGATCAGCTTGGCTCTCAGGATCATTACTGTAGTGCAAAGAAACTAAAATAAGATACAGAATGGTGACTTCATAATTCCTCAATACTGTGGTAGAAATTGGAATTGGATTGATCCCTGATCATAGTGGTAGTTTATAGATGGTGAGGTGTTTTACAAGTAAATGTGGTTCCAGGTAACAGTAATCATCATCAGGGAAATGACTCCACTTAAGAAACAGTTTAAATTAAACCTCAATATAAACATGTGTAGGCTATGGGTGTGTTGACAATTAACTTGCACACAAAATGTCTTTGTACCAATATGTTTTTTTATCTTTCCAGAGAGAAAGGGCCACCACCTTTGAAATGGAATACTGTCCATGGCAAAGTAAACAGGGTCAGCCATATGGGTCAATATGAAGTAGTTAATGGCTTACCACAGTAAGTAATGGGCCAAAAAAAAAAAAACATGTTTGTATAGAGAAATATCATTTACTCTCTCTTTTAACTATGAAGTCTTATCTTAGTCTTTATGTCATATAATTTATTGATTTATAGAACTGTCTGGACAGAGATTTCCAATTTTATGCATTTTGTGTGCTTTTTAATAGGCAGAATTAGAAGTATTATTTCAAATTATCGAGTTGAAAATCCATGTCACAGCCCTTATTTAATTTGTTGTCTTGATAATCAGATATGATTTTTTTTTGTGGTTTTCCACCTTAAGCAGCCCTCAGACCCTCAGTCCCTACCCTGAGTGTCAGAGAAACGTAAAAGCTAGCTTGCTAAATATACCTCGTGGTGGAGTCGCTTTTGTTGATATGGGTTATATATGAAATCAAGATCGAGCTGACAATACCGGAATCTAGAACCTAGGGTATCAGTCCCAAGAACCCTGAGTCATTTCTTTCTACTTTTTTTCTGTTAACCCAAAATGATGTCTTGCAAATAAAGTATTACAATGTTCTATATCCATATTAACTTTCCCAGTTTATGTTGTGACAAGAAAACCTCACTTTTGCAGGAATCCCGTTGGGAGGACAGGAATTAGATCGCGGGGACATTTAGGACGTTGGGGGCCGAACCATGCAGCAGACCCTATTGTCACAAGGTAGAAAAACACAGTTGGGCTCTATCCAGATACACGTGTGGATCAATCTATCTTCAAGGGGATTCTTGCTAAATTGCAATCAACTTAAGCAGCTTAGATGTCTGTCACATCTACTGAAGCTGCTAGGGGGTAATCAATTGTTGTTTAACTGGCTCAGTAGGCATGCCAGACATCTAAGTGGCTAAAGCTGAAAGCAGTTTAGAGAGAAACCCCTCAGAGATGGATCGCCCCCCCCCCCTCCCAACATATCTCCTTGTCAGGATTTCTCAGAGTGTATTGCTAAAGTATACCTTTCAATGTGAGAAGATCCTCCATCAGTTAAAATATGCTTCTTTAATGTGTTGAAATACTTTCTATTAAACTTTGATTTGAAAAGATGAAGTTTTGACTTTTACTGAAACAGTTCTAATATTGGTATTAAAATATTAGAATAGCTGTAGTGAGTTATTTTAGTACTGTGTCATGTCTTTCTTAGTGTGTGATTGCATGCGAATAAATCATGCCAGATTGAACTCAGAGGAAGTCAGCTCAGGTTGTTTCAAGACTGAAAACATATCATATACCAAGGGTGTGTTATTTATCCTGATCTTTTTTTTTTTTTTTTTTTTTTTTTGAGCATTTGTCTTCATTCATTTGTCCTTTTTGACATCAGAGCCTCATGTCATGTTGGATACATATATTATTTAGGTGCTATCTCAAACATTAAATATCTTGACCCTTTCTTTACTAGGTGGAAAAGAGATAAAAATGGTTCCAAGGTTATCCATCCAACAACCAAGAAGCCTATATTACAGTTTGTTGCTATACAGAGAAAAGACAGTGGAGAGTGGGCTATACCTGGGGTAGGTTACCTGGGCGGAGTGTGATCTTTGCAGCTGTTTTGTTTCAAACTCTCTGTAGTTATTCATTGACTAAAAGTTACATGTGAACCAAACGTTTTTTTTTTTCAACAGTTTTAAGATCATTTATCCTGTTAAATGCTACTTTATCAATGTACACTTAACTAGGGTAGACCATAGATTTCTCACAAAATGGCTATCAGGTAGCATCCAGTCTGCTGAGGTTCTTTGGCAATTTTAGATATTAATTGGGAACGATGCTACCCCAAATTTTCATAACCATTACCCCTGCCCTGTATTTGGCATCATTATACAGACTTCCACAAAATACAGACAATTGATGGTGTGGTTTCAAAACTTATGTTAAAACTTAAGCAGTGAATTTGGATTGCAACTTCATATTTTTATAGAAGCCCACAAATTCATTTAATTTTAAAACCTAATTTTCTCTTCATGACAAATTTTTATTTGAACTGTGTGGCCAGACTATGGGAAGAATTTGCTGTTGTATGCCAGTACAGTGTTGATTCTGTCATCAAATTAGTTATTTATTATAAAAATTTATTTATCAGTAAGGAAGTTTTGTCATTTTATCACTAGGGCATGGTGGATGCTGGAGAGAGAGTCAGCGTCACTCTGAAGAGAGAGTTTGCTGAAGAAGCCATGAATTCCTTAGAAGCAAATTCAGAGGAAAAGGAGAAAATTAAAAAGTCCTTGGAAACATTATTTAGTAAAGGTGTTGAGGTAAGTTTTTGTTTTACTGATCAATAATCCAATGGACATGAACATTTTTACATTCAGTTTATCATGTTCATATGGATTTGGTAAAAATGCCAGTGATGTTAAATATTTGCATGCATTTTAGCAGATGAAATGAAGTGAAAAAAGTGATTTAATAATTTTAGGTGATAAAGGGACCAGTGTAGTGATGATCCATACTCCTTGGAGACTTCTTTAATTTTACAGAGAACTATGACTACTTACAAATATACTACCTGGAATACCCCCCCCCCCCTTTTTATTTTCTCAATNTCATATATTATTTAGGTGCTATCTCAAACATTAAATATCTTGACCCTTTCTTTACTAGGTGGAAAAGAGATAAAAATGGTTCCAAGGTTATCCATCCAACAACCAAGAAGCCTATATTACAGTTTGTTGCTATACAGAGAAAAGACAGTGGAGAGTGGGCTATACCTGGGGTAGGTTACCTGGGCGGAGTGTGATCTTTGCAGCTGTTTTGTTTCAAACTCTCTGTAGTTATTCATTGACTAAAAGTTACATGTGAACCAAACGTTTTTTTTTTCAACAGTTTAAAGATCATTTATCCTGTTTAATGCTGTTGTATGCCAGTACAGTGTTGATTCTGTCATCAAATTAGTTATTTATTATAAAAATTTATTTATCAGTAAAGAAGTTTTGTCATTTTATCACTAGGGCATGGTGGATGCTGGAGAGAGAGTCAGTGTCACTCTGAAGAGAGAGTTTGCTGAAGAAGCCATGAATTCCTTAGAAGCAAACTCAGAGGAAAAGGAGAAAATTAAAAAGTCCTTGGAAACATTATTTAGTAAAGGTGTTGAGGTAAGTTTTTGTTTTACTGATCAATAATCCAATGGACATGAACATTTTTACATTCAGTTTATCATGTTCATATGGATTTGGTAAAAATGCCAGTGATGTTAAATATTTTCATGCATTTTAGCAGATGAAATGAAGTGAAAAAAGTGATTTAATAATTTTAGGTGATAAAGGGACCAGTGTAGTGATGATCCATACTCCTTGGAGACTTCTTTAATTTTACAGAGAACTTTGACTACTTATAAATATACTACCTGGAATACCCCCCCCCCCCTTTTTATTTTCTCAATCAGTGTCTAATGTAGTGAATAATGCCATGAAATAAGAAAACTTGTTTCCCGTGTCAGGTATACCGAGGCTATGTGGACGACCCACGCAATACTGACAATGTCTGGATGGAGACGGTGGCTTACAACTTCCATGATGATACAGGAGACAGCGTGGGGAAGTTTAATCTTAATGCGGGTAAAATACCACACCTACTATCATTTATAACTTGTGTATCCAGGTGTGAGAATTTTAAAGAACTTTGGGCAGGGTTTTGTGTCAGTTTTTTCCAGACATTTTGTTTAAAAGTTGATTATAAGCTTGGTCAGGAGTGAAATCAAACTTAAAAGTTGATTTCACATCTGACCGAGGCTTTCCCCAGAGAACCCCCCAGCTTTCACTGGGAAGACCTCAAATGTCAGCCTATATTTACAAAGATGGTTGGACAGCTTACAAAATATTTGGGTTGGTTGGTTGGCTGGGATTTTGGAACTCCCTGTAAATTGATGACCATATTGCAGATTCACATTTTGGACTCCGTGTACCCCAGATCTTGGGGAACCCCTGATGTCCAGTTATAAAAATATTTCAATTTGTCTTAAAAAAAAAAGAAGTTATCCTCATTTACAAATGTAGTACTAAGATTTTGTAAGATTTGATTTGATTGGGTTTTATATTTCTGTTAGTGATTCAGATGGTTGTATCTCATTGGAGGTGGGGTGGGGTGAGGTGGGGTGGGGTGGGGTGAGGTGGGGTGGGGGGAGCTTTCAAAACAAAAACGAAACTCTTTAACCTTTAAAGTGGTCTAAACTTTCATATCATAATTGTAAACTAATTAAGTGAAACATTGCACCTGTTTTATAACATGAAAGACGTGGCTGATAATAAGATCAATATTTACGTTAAAGGGACCAGTGTGGACTTATCATAGAATGAAAGTAGATCTAATTTTTGGTTCACAATTTTCTACCAATTTTGTTGCCCAAAGTCCTTTTATGAAACTTTCCCCAGCTACCGTTGTGATAATGTCTCTCTTAGACCACCGTCACGGAATCAACCTTACACTGTCAACATAAACCGCAACTGTTTGTGGCAGTAACTTGACATTTGATCTCTCCATTCATTTGATATTGCTATGCCTAATTTCACTCATGGAAATGTCAGTTAACATGGATGGTAACATTACACTAAACAGGTTTTATTTCATTTTTCAGGTGATGATGCTGGCAATGTGAAGTGGACCGATATCAGCAGCTCTCTTCAGCTCTTTGCCAGCCATGTGGATTTTATAGAAAAAGTAGCTAAAAAGAATAATGCACATTGGTGATTCATATTTCATGAAATATTGGTTAGGAAGGCAATTGTGAACCATAAGGGGGGTGGGGTCTCAAAGAAGGGTATTAAAATTGCCCCTTTACTGAACTCTTCCCATCTAAATTTTGACCCCCTGTATAAAGTAAGTTCAGAATGGACAAGAGTAGAGTAGAAGAAATACCACCCCTGAACAAAATTACACATATATATTTAATTTCAGGAAAATATTATAAGGTTTTTGCCTCACAGTTTGCCCCAATTCATTTCTCTTCTTTGGTATTGTGTAGAAGACCTTCCATAGACCCCCCCTAAGGTTACAACATTTAGTAAAGCCCCCTTTACACTGGACGGCGTCCCTTCTGCGTCCTTTCTGCGACCATGAAATTTGGCATCGCTGTGGTCTTAATAAGGAGGCATGAGCATTGATTTTGTATCAGAATGAATGCTCAATGATCTGCCAGTTGTCGGCACGTAAAGTATTATACTTCTTTAACTCTCAAATGGGGCCGTACTGCTGGACGCAGAAAGGACGCCGTCCAATGTAAAGGGGGTTTAAGAGATTTCATTGGAGTGCATTCTGGACAAAATTAAATGGGAATCCTCTGAGATGGCCCAAAGTCTGGCATCTTGGCGTATCTCAGAAGATTTCCATTACAGTGAGTTTTAGTAATTGCTTTTGTGCCATAACTTTACTTTAACAAATGTGAACTTTACAACGTGCAAAAAGTTTCAGGAAGACTGGGTAAGACTGTGAAATACTATTATATGAAACACTATACTGTACTCAGTAGATCAAAACGTCATAGAAGACTGGAGACTGTGGCAATAATATCCATGGCTTGTTCCCTGTAGGTGAAAAGATGTAAGTTATGCTCAAATTTAATCTGCATTTAATCTTCCTTAGAAATGCTAGAAGCAACTCTGTGGCAGTATATTATTTGCTTTAGTAAGTTTTATCATTCTTTGTAAGCGTACAGAAACAAATTTGACCTATAAGCAAAATTTCAACAAAACTGGGAATACCTTCAAAGTAAAAAAGTATTATGTAGGTGACTGTGTAGAAAGTGCCAAGTTGTAAACAAAGAAACAGTTAAAGTTGCCTGAAAGTAGCCCATGAAATGCCATGATTTACTCATTTGTTGAAACCCTTTGTTTAAACTAATTTAGAAAAAAAAACTTGGAATTCACCGACATGCAAAGGAAAAAATTGAACTGTATCCACTATCAAAATTAAAAGGGGCATGATGTTTGCCATTAATGTAAACTTTTTAGCAAGGCTTTCACATTTAATATAGATCATTCCTTTTTTGGTATACTTTTTTTTTTTTCTTTTTTTTTGCAGTATACTTGGGACAGCTACCCACAAATGTAAAATATTTACATGATGTGAAGGCATTGACTTCCAGGATTAGTGTCTACTAATTGAATATTCTCTCATCTGAAATTTGATATTGTGTAGTTATTTTTCTTTTGATAACTAAATGGTAATTATATTAGATACTTGGGGTAGATCATTTCTACTAAATTTGAAAATCTGTTAAGAGATACTGCTTTGTGTATTGAATGTGTAAGAATATTTTCTTAATATCAAACATTTTATATTTGTGGTAAATTCTCTGCTGGTTAATTCAGCTTTAGACTATAAGGAAAACTGTAAATTTGTGATGTCTTTTTCTTAATAGTGAACAGATATATAATCATTATTAAAGTAAGTCTGCATACTATTATATGTAGTTTTTTATCACTGCAGCATGACCAACTCACCACCATTACTGCCTATAGAGAAATTGCATCCCACCTCCTCCTCCTTCCCCTCTGTTTAAATTCTCTCTCCAGCCAAATCTTGAAGTCAAGGAAGCATCATGATACCCCCATGGTTTATACATGATTTCAGTTCTTGAAATTTATAAAGGCATTGCTTTTAATGCCTATAAACACAAATAAAAAAAGTTAGGGCACAAAGTTCTGTAGAACAGTGGAAGAGCATATCTCTGGAGTGTTCAAATCCAATCCCAAGGACTTGTGCCAGTTATAAATCCAACACAAAAGCAATGAGGTGGATAAATATATATTTCCATTAACAGGCTTCCTCATTTAATAATACAATTAAATGAGTTCTTTATTATACATTAAATAATGGCCTATCATGCCTATGTATCGAAAGCACTGCACTAAAAAGATCCACTGTAAAGTTGTGAGCAAGTGCAGGTTCAAACAATTCAATCTGAAGGAATATTAAACAAATTCCTTCTCTACACAAACATTTTTTTAGAAAATGTACTTGGTGCTTAATATATTTTCTAGAAGTAATTAATTTGCAAAAAATGTCTGCATTTTCTACTGAAATGTGCACATGACACGACATAACTGTGCAATCTTTATAACTATGTCTGCATCACACGAGATGCATCAAAAAGAAAAAAGACACTTATTTGTTTTAAATGTACTTACATCTCAGTAGGAATGACACATTTATTTTTGTTACATGAACAATAGCTGCACTGGAAGTTTTAGGCTCCCCACACCAATAAAGAAGGTATCTAGAGACCCCCTTTGAATGACTTGACATATAACAGAAAGGTGGAGAAAAAAAAAATAAACGAAAGAATTTCTGGAGCACATATTGGATTTTCCCTTTAATTAGGTCACTGATGCAAATAAAAGTTTGTTAAATAATCCTTCAGAAACATAAGGCTTGAAATGAATAAATGAAAAGAAAATAGTAAATGTCACCAACTGACTAGTAGTTAACATTAAATAAATGGCACTGCCATTAGTTTCATTTCACTGAACAAACTTAACAAAATGGTGTGACACTTATACACCTAACAAAATTTTACTTCTACTTTCACATAAATAATTGGTCAATTTTTCTTAATTTTTTGCTAATACTTGACAACACTGTCTCTCTTTTACTAGTACCTATTTTTGGATTTAAAAAACCAAATCCAACTGAACTAAATTAATAATTTAGTTTTTAGTCTTTAACATTTAGCTCTCCCTATTCTGGGAAAATCAAACACTAAGACATAGATGTACACACCATAAAGCAACCATTTCCTGAGTTAGCACTGAAAACTAGTTAACTTAAAAAGAACAGAGGCCAAAAAAGAGAACTACCATAAGTTATTTGCAAAACTAAATGGAAAATATACAAAAGGAAATAAAAATAACAGAAAAACTGAAAATAATGTATTACAAAATTGGGACACGACCAGAGTAAAAATTTATAGGTAAAAGTTCCACATTTAAGGACAATCTCAAAATATCACTCATCTTTGTGCCTTTTAACATGGCATTGAAGAACTATGATCTTACAGTTTGTTTAAGAAAAGATCTTTTACTTCCAATCTACTCAGGTAAAGTATAACTGGATTATAAATGCTGTACATAAGCAATTATGCAGGATAATGAGATGTGGCCCACACATTATAACATCCAAGCAGTAGTCTGTCTAAAATATGGTTTCCTCAAAACATAGAGGCTGCACTGGATAGCGTTAACGGAGCCCATTGATGTCTCCATTGGTCTCATCATGGTCGCCATTACTTGTAGCCTCCTGGTGGACATCACCATTAGCAACCTCATTAGGTATAGAGTCATGTGACACAGTGGCCTTCCCCTTGGTATTCTGTAGCCAGACCTTACTGGAGAGATTGTACATGGAGTAATAGGGATCCCCTGTGACTTCCTTCACTATATCCAGAAAACTGGGCAAGTCTAATGGCTCCATTGCTGGGATTGTGCTATATGTTTCCAAGAGAATCAGCCCTTTACACCTGAAATTTGAAACAATGTTATAAAACATGAAAATATCTTAATTCATTTCTACCTTAGTTGTTTGAAGTATTAAAATACATCCAATTTCTCAAAATGTGACCCAGGCTACCTCTTCCAGTTCTCTCACCTTTCTTGACACGGCTCCTTGTACAAGTCCATCTGATAATATTGATCATTCCACAGAAAACAGCGCCTTGTCTTGTAGATGGTCTGATGCTTCTCGTCTATCTGAGCCAGGAGGTTCTGAGAAATAACAAATGAAACAATTTGACAGATTTTACTGTGCATTTAACAAATTTCAGAATGGTTCTACCAAGCTGAATACTTGCAGAATTGATAATTACATTTTTTATGAGCTAAATTTCAGCAATTAACATAAATAAAATAAGTCTACAGTATTTTGTGCAGAATTTATATTATATAAACTAAAAACTGTGAAGTGAAACTGAATGTCCACTGAAGGCAATCAAAGGAAACTTACAAAACAACAAGTGTATAAATTTAAGTCTCTAGGATTCCTCTCACAAAACAACTTGATTCAATAATTAGTCTTAGACTGCCAAATATTTTAGCCGACTTAAAGATGGAGAATGTATCACAGAGACCCTAAACAGCCACTTGCCTATTTCTTAGTCTTTTAATAACTGAGCCCCTGGAATAAACTGATTGTCAGAACAATGATTTGCACTCTCAGCTGTCACTAATTTATTAGGGTATCCAATGACAACTGCCTTTACTGTCGGCCAGACTTTCATAACCTATATAGTGGGGTTACCCTACATGCAACTGACTGGCCCAGTCTAGAAAATAGGCTAAACAAAAAACTCATTTCTGAATCAGTGCCTTACTGTGTAGTCCCTTGACGTGATGTGCATCTTGGTCTCTGCGCTCTCGTTATTCTGCAGATAGCGACGTATGGTGTGAGTATATGTCCAGTTACCTGATACAAACAAAAATGAAGATGTGTCAAATAGTGACTTGTTCAACTGGGGCCACAGCAATAGTCTAAAGGTTCAATATTTCGAAGGTTCATTGGTCCGAATATTCACTATAGAATCCTTGATTAAAAAAACAATGAAAATGTTATCATTTTTTGGACCAATGAACCTTCAGACTATCAAGACGCCCTCTCAGTATGGAATACAAGCCTCTCTTTACAAAGAGAAGTATTTTAGAAACTTTAACTTGCACAATGTTCAATTTTATATGCCAATTCAGCATTCGTAGTCAGTTTTACCATTTTGCCCTCGTTTCCGTATTCTGGCCTGGGTTTTCTGGCCAGGGGTGGCCAGGTAGTCATGAACAACATCAAAATCTTGAAACTGAGGATAACCCTGGAATGAAAAAATACTTCATGATTTAAGAAAAAAATCTTGAAACCAAGGATAACTTTGGGATGAAAAAGTAAAGAGGTTCAATTTTAAAGTTAAAACATAAATAACAGTTTCTTCCTCCTTTCACCACTCAATAATTAATTAATATTTTAAAATTCAACCTCTGTGTAATTATATTCTAACCAATAGATTTTACAGATGACAGAAAAACTCAAATATTTAACCTAATCACAACTTATGAATACACTAATTTTCAAA